ATTCACATACTCGCTGTCTGTGGCAGATGACCTTAAGCCAGCGGAGAAACCCATACGTTTCCCTAAGGGATCAGGACACCATGGTGCGGGAGTTGGCACTAGCCAACAAGCAACTACTGATGGTGAGTTCTAGCAATGGGTGCTCTGCAGTCTCCTCCATGACTCCCTTTGCCCGCTGGCATTTCCAAGCTCCTGCCCTCTGCCCTGGCCCACCTTATTTAAGGTGGTCTCCTGCAACCCAGCAGCCAATCTTTCACTCCAAATGCCAAAACGTTTTCCTTTTTCTAATTGATCCCTTGCATCTGGCAGTGGGTGATCTGTTTTAAAGTCCAAAGTACACTCTAGTCTTTGCGCCTCTCATCTTGCTGAGAGTCAAAACCGAGAGTAATACCTCTCACTTCCTAGGGGCCCCCAGTTACTGTCATGTGGCATCTTTGTATTCCTGGTGGCCAGCAGAGTTCCTGGCTGTGGTGCGTTCTTGGCAAATGTCTGCTGCACCTGGGGCTTCGCCCACGGAGAAGAAATTGCTGATGCTTCCCCTCCACATGTTCCGCCTCTCTGCTACGCACTCCCTCACTCTATGCCAGGCTCCAGTCCAAGGGTGAACAGTGTCGGGAAAGCAATGAGGGAGAGAGAACAGAGAGGGTGGTAAACACTGTATTCTGTCCTCCCCACCAGGTCCGGCAGGCTGCCCTGTACCAGCTGTTTGAAAAGGAGTATCAACAGTACCAGCAGGAGCTAAAGCAGATGGGCAAAGCTTTTTATGTGGAGAGGCTGTGATGGACAGTCCCCCCTTCCCTTCTTGCCACGCCCGCTAACCTCGCCTTCTTAAGCATCTGCAGCCTAGAGCTTTCTTCCCCAAACACACCTGGCTTTAGCTGTCTGCCCAGGATTTAATATGATAGCCTTTCCCTTCTCACCTTTTCCCGCTTATGCCTACCTGCTGTGCTGATTGAGAAGAGATCCATAAAATAATGGTTGAAAAAAGAGTGACACCTTGTGGTCAGAATGGGATATGCAGTATTGCTGTAATGGGGTAGGGGTGGGGGCTAGGG